TTTTAGATTTATGATTTGGGGTATTTGTTCCCAAAGTTATCACCTTCATTTTCTTAGGTTAAAGCTTTGAAAACAATATTTATGGCTTGTAATCGAATGATTCATGGTCGGGAGCTTGATTGATCGTGTATGACACCGCGAAATATTAGGTTTTATAATTATCTATTCTCTTTTCAATATTCTAGTGTTGGGGTTTGTTTGTAAGTATGCTTTGTTTTATATATATATATATATTGATTACTCATGGTGTTGTATGATTCTTTCTTTACAAATCATTATTGGTCATTGTTTGCTTTATTTGGATTTGAGTTTCTATAGACATATACTCCTTAGATTTGGATTTAGGATGAACACCTATAGGATTTTAACTCTAGATATAGATTAAGGCTTAATAACCATGTGTGTATAGACTCTTAATGCCTCTGTGTTGTTTTAGTTGCGCGAGACATCATCGACGAAGAGCAAAATGATTGTTTTCTCACCTTGCGTTAGAAATAACCTCTGTGTGAGTGGTGCGTGATGATTTTGATGAGTGATTAAGGTCGAGTGCGACTGAGTTATTAGTTTAAGTGTTTAACGAGTATTTGAAATTCAATCCCGAGAGTTTTCTCCTTTTCGAAGAATGAAATTCTTTGATTTTCAAAACTTTTAACTCCCACATTTACCACTTCAAACCAAACTTATTAACGCGAGAAATTATCGAACAAAAATTCACTAGCACTAATCCCTGTGGAGACGATATGATATACCCTATAAAAATACTTATTTTTGCTTTTTTCTTTACCACTTTAGCAGGGATCCCCCAGGTTGAGCCGGTCATCCAAAGGCACGATAAAGAAAAAGATTGTTGAGTTAATGGGTGTGAGAAAAAGGAAGGAAATATCTCATCCCCCAACTTGGATAGACCGATCCTCAGGTTTCAGTATAGTGAAAAGGTAGGAGGCATCTCAAACGAGACATTCCCTTTGGTGATAACAACAACCATAACCAACTTTGATGTGTCTCGAGTTCTGATCGACGAAGATATCTCATGTAATATCATGTACGTTGATCTCTTTGAAAAAATGAGATTAAAGAAAGAGAAACTATTAGCGTATAAAGGATCATATTTATAATCATTTAATGGAACTATGACCTACCCCTGGGAATATGTTGACTTGATGGTTACCCTTGGTGAGGGATGAAATACTAGAACCGTTGACTCCTAGTTCTTGGTCGTACCATGTTAAAGTGTCTACAATTTTATCTTAGGCCGACCCTTTGCAGCGACGCTAGATGAAGTAGTTCCCCAATCCATTTGAAATTGAAATACCATAACATCCACAACGAGCCAATCACCATCAGCGTCAACCTGGCGGGAGCTAAGAGGATTTTTCAAGTTTTACAATAGGATCTGAACGAAGGTGAAGCTACAACTATGTAAATCAATATGGCCTCGTTGATTAAGCAGCTAAAGGATATGGTCGTTCGTCCTTTAACCAAAAATATAACGTGGATTCAATGAACAATAGTGACTAATTGGAAGGAAAACATGAAGCACCATCCTCGTTGATGGAAGTTCAATAATTTGTATACGTCGGTAACAAACATTCAATATACACATGCACCACACTTGTATTCACTGATGTTCAAAAAAACTAACCATCAAGAAGAACCACTTGCTCGTATCTAATAATTTGATTAAGATGGACCTGAGATCGAGAGATGAGACCTATAAAATAAAAAATATTCCATATGTTAAAGAGAATTCTCAAATGTGTCCCCAACCACAGAAAAACCTTCATGAAAGGATTTGGACAACTCCTTACAAAGGGAATGATTTTCCTCAGGCTTCCATTGAATATCTTGAGACTCCCTCAAATAATTTTCCAACTCCTTATTCCACTTACAGACAACCTCCAAAAACCAAAATACCTCAAGGGTTTTAAGGCAATTTCTATGGCAAGGAACGATTTGTAAACATCTCAAACCTCCTCTAAACATTTATCCCACTCGAGGATAAGGTCACCAACCTTATTCTTCAACCTTTCCTTCTCCAAACAAAAGTGATCAGGCAAGAAAAATTATTCTTAGAAGTAAGAATAATTATCTTCATAGATTGAAGAACAAAATTTGTACCCACCATCAGACTCAGACATGCCAACAATACAAGATTGGCTCCCATCTGTACGGAAGACACTCCACTCACAAATTTAGACCTTCGAAGGCGTTTGAGAGGAGGACCTCTCTCACGACTTCTTATGAATCAAGGATGCGGGATAACTTCTCCTCCTCCTCTGACCAAGAGAAGAAGAAGTTTCGTCTAAAAATACATGACCAGAAGAGGATGGAGCCACGTCCTTAAAACTAAGAGAGTCTACTTGTGTAACTTATCCAACAACTAGAGCAGACAGAGTGCCGACAAGCGTACTCAAAGTAAAATCCCCATTGACGGAGGGCGTACTCATTGAAAGGAAAATGATAGAGAGAGAGAGAGAGAGAGAGAGAGAGAGAGAGAGAGAGAGAGAGAGAGAGAGAGAAAACATTCACGAAATGAGATAAAACACCCATCATATTAACCATATACCATTTTATCTTCATCCTGAGAAAGGACACCTCAATCCTCATGAAAACCCACATTAGTCATAGCCTAAGAGAAAGCATTGTTATGAGAAAAGGTGGAGACTATGTATTGTATATATGAACTTATCCAAAGCTATGAAATATTCTTATCAACCTTCCTAGTTGACATAGAGGAAACAATCATGTTTGTAGGAATCAAAGATCAAATGCAGGAATCAATAGACAAAGAAAATAAATTTGAAACACTAAGAAATCCTAAAAATGACAAAGGGAAGAAGAGAGCGAAGAGTCCAATCAAAATCCCAAAGCTCGAGTATGAAGTCGAAAACGTAAGAAACTGAACCAACAAGAATAATTTCTCAAATAACAAATCATCCTCCATGTAACGGTAAAAGTTAGAGATCAAGCTATTAATTAACTTGACTTGCAAATAAGCAAGAGTCGCCACCGCGCTTTATTATTTACAAGGGAAGGATAAAGGAGCGAAATAAAATCCATAAGTGAATATGCAATGCAAGAAGTAAAAGCAAGTGCAATAGATAGATCTAAAGTTCAGGGGTTGATTATACAAAGGGAAGGTGTTAGAATCCAATGCATTTATAGTACTCTACAGGAACCTCATATTATATCTGTGTATTAAAATTAGTTGTTTGCTAAAATATTAGTTTAAAGGGATTTTGAAAATGCAACGACCAAATGTCGAGGTTTTGGCTCAAAAGAGTGTAAGTTTAAAAAATGAGATTTTTGGAGATCTAACTTAAGATTAGCAAAACGTAAAGATGGATGAAGGAATTCACACAATTATATAAGATACACTCGATGACATGAATTCAACGAATTAATCTTTTCCCTTGTATTAAAACACAAAGATAATAATCAGATGAAGACCGAATAAGAACCATGCATCAGATAAAAATGGATAGTAACTATAGTCCAAGGATTAAAGAACTAATTTTTTATAATTTTACAGTAAAGAAATAAAAATAGTAAATAAAAAAATAACATGATTCTAAATACTTTTTTTTTTTTGTGATTTTTTTAAATGGAAAAGAAATCATGAGTAAAACACAATAAAAATCAAATTACACTAAATTCATAAACGACTTCTAACGTTTCTATTTTTGTGTGGTTTTTCAAAGCATAATCTACTCTTGACTTGTAAATAAAAATTGTACATGATGTCAAGGAGAATCATATGCAAAAAGAACTGCTAAAAAATATCGAAATTTGAAAAAGTTATGAATTTTAAATTTGACTCGAGAATCGGCAAAAATAGATCAAGCCACCTGTGAACACTTATTATGAATGATATAGATAAAAAATGGAATCTTTAGGTCAAAATTTAGGGTATGAGACTTCACGCCATGAAAATATTGAGACCAAAAACAAGAAGGGAAAAGAGCTTATCTAGAAAGTCGATATGCAGTCAGCAAAAAAGAGTAAATTCCCTTTAGAAGCCTAGTATATCTCTTCAAATGATTAAAAACCACACGATCATTCCCACTATCAACGGTTGAGATTTCCATATGACACTTAGAATGACACGTTGACATCCCTACTGTAATCATGTTAATGACTAAAAAGGGTAGATAGCACATGTTAGTCATTCTCTGCTTCTTAAAGCGTCACATGTGAAGGTTGTCCTAAAAACGTCTTTTCCCGAGAGAACATGACTTTATAGATGCTTATAGACCGTTACTTAAAAACCCCTGCCCTTCATGACGAAAGATAAAGGCTTAGGGGCAATTATTATGGGTTGGTCGTAGAGGCCCAATAAAATATAAATTCTAGTACCAGAAGTGTGCAAGGCGTTACGAGAATGAACAAAAATAAGGTAGAACCCTCTAACACTACCCCGGTGGGAGAACTCATCCAACACCGTTAGATCTATCCGGGGGTCGTTCGCACTTCAGGTTACTTTCATATTTTAGTTGCTAACAAACTCTCATATTTAAAGGAAGTTAGATCTATCCGGGGATTGTTCGCACTTCAGGTTACTTTCATATTTTAGTTGCTAACAAACTCTCATATTTAAAGGAAGTTAGCTCGTCATTTCCATAATACAATTTTCATTCTCTAGTTGAAAATTTACTATTCATTTCTCTCACTAACTTGAACGATTGAAAGATAATCTTGCAGGTTAGTCTCATCCACAACATAAGAACGAACTCAGTGAGCTCCACCGTGCCGCAACAACCAATCTTTATGTCCTCGTAAGATATTCTTTTTGTACAACATAATATAAATTTCAGTAAATAACAATAATATATAAACAAATCCAATAATGATGAATTATATAAGTTTTTATGAGGAACTAACCCAACATTACAAGTTTTATATAAAGAACACCATAATGAAAAGAAGCTTTTAACAATGGTTGTTTTTAATTTGAAGTTATATTAATCACTTTTTGTGTGTGTATTTTTCAAAAAAATTATTCAAAGGCAACTCTTTGGAATGACCACTCCAGTGCTGCTTCCAGCAACATTTTTGCAAGATGATGTTCCAGAACCTCTTAGATAAACGAGCTTTATATCTTTAAGTTTGAGACCCTGGCATGGATTGCTTTGACTGCAATCAAATTTGATAGCTACTGGACTTGCTGAAGTTCCTTTTATGTGTTCATATGATACACCACTTATTTTCACTCCAGAACTCTGTTTTCAAATGAATTTTACACACAACAAATAAAGTTATAGTTAATAACAGAAAATATTATCAAGAATTGGCCTAAGAAAAGGCCAAACTATCTAAGTGACTATGTGATTGGCCTAGAAAGTGAAGAAGAACAATTGCATAACTTAGTTGTTTTATGCAGCAATGATGACCGTATCACATATGATGATGCAAGGAAATGGATTAATAGATTCAGACAATTGGGAAGAACTACACATGGAAACTAACTAATCTTCCTACAAGAGCTAAAAAGATAGGTGTGAACTACACATGGAAACTAACTAATCTTCCTACAAGAACTACACATGGAAACTAACTAATCTTCCTACAAAGTGCAATTAGAAAGGAGATATTGAGAAGCACAAAGTTATCCTTGTGGCCAAAGGTTACTCAAAAATATGGTATAGAATGAAGTCTTTGCATATGTCGCAATATCAAATACTATTGCAAATATTGGCAAGTTCTAGCCTGATGTATAACTTGTGGCCAAAGGTTACTCAAAAATATGGTATAGATTACAATGAAGTCTTTGCATATGTCGCAATATCAAATACTATTGGGGCGTACAAATATTGGCAAGTGTTCTAGCATGATGTGAAGAGTGCCTTCTTGAATGGTGAATTAATTGAGAATGTATTTGTTGATCACCCATTAGGTTATGAGAAATGACTGAAGAAGGTGGCCCTATATAGGCTTAGACAAGCACTAAGAGTTTGGTATAGCTCTATTGGTTCGATATCAGTCTGGTGTAAAATCTCATTCTATTTTTGAGTTCAGGCTGTGTGAAAGCTTAGTAGGTTCGAGATCAATCCAGTAAAAATCTAGGTTCGGTTTGTGATCAGCCTGTGTAAAACCTCGGTTCGGTTAAGAGGATAGCAAACTCAAAACTTCATCTTGGTTCGAGATCAACCTGTGTAAAATCTCAGTTTGACTTAGAGACTAACCTCTCGAAGCTCTATTTGTTATTTGGTGTGAAGATTAACCGTTTCATTTCTCACTTCGTTGCTTGGCTGGAAGTTAGCCTTAAACTTCAATTTCATGATTTCTTGTATAAGGGGGTTCCTGCGCTTAAATTTCTAAAGGCTCTCAAAACATTATTGGACACTCTCTAGATTAGTTCTAGGAGTGAGGAGTATGTCACTTGTTTAAAACCGAACCTTTATAAATTTTTGGTGTCGTTCTCTCTTCCCTTATCTCTTATACTTTCTACTTAATTTCTTTATCTGTTTTTCTAGTGTATATTCAAACGTTTTTGATAAAATATTTTTAAACTCTAATTTAAAAAATAATTTTTTTAAACTATATCGTTTTTTAAACCTCCACAATTCATCTTTTCTTGTGTATGTAATCACATGTTCAACCGCTACTAACTATAACCAAATGATAAAGTGCTTGATGTTCCTAATTTCCACTAGACCTGATGTAGCTTACTTTGTGTGTTTAATATCCACTTATATGGAGAGGCTAACAAAGATTCACTTGGTTGAACAAGAAGAATTCTCAGAAATCTCAATAGGACATTGAGCCTTAGTATTCTATTCAAAAGAGGAGTTATGAAAGAGCATCAAGAATGGTCAAATTCAGATTATGCAGGTGGCATTGATGACATGAAAAACACATCAGATTATGTCTTCATGTTTGGCTCAAGAACCATCTCATGATCATCTAAAAGAAACATGTGATAATAGTTTATAGATTTTGTAGTAGCTTCATCATGTATCTATCGCTTATTGTAACAAGCCTATATAAACCTATATGTAGAGAAAGTAATTAACCTGGTGAGGACACTCCCTTTTGGAGCAATATCTTTGATCAATAATGATTGGATTGTAAACATTTTGCATGATGAGGTTCCTAAACTTAATGTCTCTTGCATATCCATTGCTTGGTTTCGCCCACGATTTTATCCTTACCCCATTATCTGTTTTGGTAAACACTGAATCTGTCACTGTTACATTCTCAACTCCAGCTTCATTTGAATAGCTTCCCAAACTTCCAATGCTGCATGTATATAAAGCCAAAAGAGAGAATTGTCAAGTCTTAAATATGAATACTTGTTTTAATCGAAATCGGAACATTGACTTTGATATATTGAATAATCAATGTATCTGGTCTATATAAAAATGATGGTAACAACTTAATTACCTAATGCCATGACCAGGGCCGCACGCAATTCGCTCAATCCACACATGAGTTGTACCTTGATTTATTGATATGCAATCATCACCAGTCATTATGGTAGCATGGCTGATAGTAACTAGAGTTGAAAATTGCACATTTATCCCATCTGTGTTTGGGCTTCTACTAGGAGCTTTGATATTCACATCTTTTATCACAACATTTTTGCAATGGTCCACTGCTATGTGTATTGACTTGCTGTTTAATGATGTTAATCCACTAACCAGCACATTCTTGGACCAACTAAATGATATAGACTGCAAAATAATGAAACCTAGTGTTAGTGAAAAAACATGAATCTTCAGAGTGTGTTTCTTTAAAAATCTCAGGTTCGAATTCACAATTTATATATCGTGTCAGTTCATAACTCAGGCTATAAATAGTCATATACTAATAGACGGTGAGATTAATCCACTCGTATCGAGTTTTCAATAAAAAAAGAAATTTAATATAGTTAAAACATATAGGACATACCCTTGCTCCAGGAGGACAACTCTTTCCAGCTTTTCTACAATGCCAATAGTCATCACCCTTTCCATCAATAGTCCCACCATAAATTGAAACCCTATTAACCTTCATAAACAAGATCCAATATCCTGAATTACCTAGTGACACATAATTTGAAGGTGCAACTATAGTGCCATCAATTTTAAAATCAATCTTGTTCATGCAAGGACCCCAAAATGTGACTTGGTTTAACAAGAAACTTCCTTGAGGAACATAAATTGTGGATGCTTCATTTGATTTGCATGCTGAAGACCATGCACTTAGGAAATGTTTGGTTGAGTCTTGTTTGCCATCAGGTTTTGCACCATGGCTAACTACATTGATAGAGACAGCATTTGAAGTTTCAAAGAAAATGATGATGAATGTGGCTGAAAATAGAAAGATGTGAATTTTTTTGTGAAACATTTTAATGATGAGTTTGTGATAGATTATGAATAATTGATTTATTTATATATTTATGGTTAAATGTAAAAGGTATGTATAGGGGACAAGCACAGGGATGATATTTATTATCACATGGTTGGAAGTACCATTGTACAAACCAAGTTAAGTATGAGTTAAGTTGCTTAATAATCTCATATTTTCAAGCCTTAATTCGTTGTATAACATATGCGCCCAAGAGGATTAACAGAAGAAATTAAGATAATAGAAGAATTAAGTCATTATTTAGTGAATTACATTGGTCATTATTAGATGACAATTGACATAATAAATCACATTTGTTTTACTAGAATACATTTGTCTATAATGGATAAAATTTGTCTTGAATAGTTACACACTTGTCATCATTAGTAACACTTGTTAGTAATTAACATGACACTAGTATTAATTGTTTGATGTTTGCAATTTAGTAGAGGTCAAATCAATGCATGGTGAATTTAGTGGGAATAAATCCATGTGTAAGGAAATTAGAATGGTGAAGGTCATGTGTAAGGAAAAATAAGGATGGTGAAGGCCATGTGTAATGAGTTAAGGATGATTAAGATAATGTATAAAATAATTAAATGCTAATTTTGCATGCAAGCCAACTCATTCTCTCATTTTTCATTTCCATATCATTTATTATAAAAGTGTCTGTGGTGCAGTTTAAATTGATTTTGAAATAAAATTTATCCAATTTAAAAGTAAATTAATTTACAGTTTAATTTTGAATATTGATTAAAAAATTTTAATTCAACTTGATTTAATTTCATATAATTTAATTTAAATTAATTTTTAAATATTTAAATTATAAATTATATTTTTAATTAAATTATAAAAACACTAATGAATAATAGATTAGATAATATATAACATATAATATATTAAAAGTTAATATTACAAAATAAGAATAACCGTTTGTAGTTGAAATAAATAAAATAATAAAAATAAATTAATTAATCTAAACTAATGTAATATAAAAATAAGAGTTATCAAAAAATAAAATATCACAACATACACTAATAAAAAATAAATAAGCATTATATATATATATATATATATATATATATATATATATATATATATATATATATATATATATATATATATATATATATATATATATATATATATATATATATATATATATATATATATATATATATATATATATATATATATATATATATATATATATATATATATATATATATGATTTGGTTTGAATCGATTTAAAAATTAATTTAAAATCAAATTTAAATCGAGCGATTTTTATGAAATAACACCCAAACATATCAAATAATATTCAATTCTTTTGATCGATTTGGATCGAACACTCATATCATTCATGCATCAAAAATTATGTTTCTTTTTGAAAAAAACTTTGATAAAAAATCTTTCAATTTTTTAAAGTTAAATATATTTTTGATCTTCTTAAATAGTGACAATTTCACTTTCAATCCCTCAAAAAAATTTCTTCAAAAATTGGTCCTTAACATATTTTTCATCCACGCATTTAGTCATTGATGATAAATAATAGCTCCAACAAAATCTGACATGGTAAGACAGTTGGCTTACATTTAAAATTTACTAGTTAAAATCAATGTCATATTAGGATTTATTGCATTAAATTATTGTTACTGCCTTATAAATTTTATTTGTATTTAACTAATTTTTTAATTATCATCTTCTGAAACTCTAGTTTTTTCTAAAACGCCATTGATGACTTCTCTCCCATATCCCCAATGAGGTAGTTCGGACCTTCCATTGCCAATGTCAGGTTAAAGGGTGCACTCCGAACGCCAGTGCGCAACTAACAGTTTGAAAGATATCCTATTTTTCGTTTCTAGCAATGTACGAAGATTTTGAAGTTTCTTTTGGTGTAGTCCTTGAAGTAGGTTAGGGATTTGAAAGTTGTGGGCCCATCGAAATTATATAATACACACCTTTGAGACAGGTTTGTCCCACGTGTCTCTTTCTTTTTTTCTTTTTTTGAATTATTTAGGGGTTCTTTTTGCTCTGTGCCACATGTTTAGGGTTTCTTTTTTGATATGTTCATAAGATTCAATTTTCTCCCTGTTCCGTTTGGGAACCATAAATTAACGCAGTTGGAAAAATATTGATTTTGAATGATGGCTCCGACCTCTTTTCTGGTGGCACGAGGTGAACCTGCATGGTGTAGCAACTAGTTTTTAAATCAAAGTCGTCACTATTAATTTTTATCCTAGGGAAGGGAATATAACAGAAAACTCTAATTCGCAGACAGAGATTCTAGGTTTCAGACTTCTTTAGACGAAAGGAATGTGTTAGGCACCTTTCATCTACCTTGTTCACAAGGATACTAGGTTTTAGGTTTGAGTTGAGGAAACAAGATTTAAATTTTATTAGGGGAAAAGGGTTTTAATTTTTTATAGGGGAAAGGGTTTAAATTTTTAATAGGGGAACTCGCTACGATTTTTGATTGTATGCCTACGTATCCTCTTAAGAGGAATCAGAGTCTCAATTCGTAGTTCGTATGGGATTGGTGTTTTTTAGGGGTCGCAAACGTATTTTGAATCACCTCGCACTTTGATCGGGAGTAGCGATTGCGTAGATTTTGACTAAATGCGCAGTAAGTCAAAATCTGTTTGAAACCCTTTGCAAAACAGTTGATTAGCTTAGTTTATTGCGAAAAATAGTTTGTTATTTGTTGCGTGTTTTTTAATTGTATTAACTGCAAAATATCTTGATTAATGCATGATTAAAAAAATATTTAATGCAAAAAATATATAAAATAATATATGAATTCTTGAATAAAATAATTTATAATAATATAAATAATATTTTCATATAATAAATAATAAGATATAAAAATTAATAATAATAATAATTATAAAATGATAATAATATAATAATAAGAAAATAAAATTAAAATATAATAATTATAAAAGAATGTAAAAAAAACTAAAAAATTATCAGGGGGTGCTGTTAGGATTCTGGGCTAAGCCCAAATACCATTCTGAATAGGGGGTGCAATTCTGTTTAGTGCTTAGGACTTAAGTGAAAGGGGGTGTTAAAAGTAGCGGGCTAGGCCCACATATAGTTCTAAAGGGGGTGTAACTTGTCTTGATGTTTAGTAACTAAAGCAACTGGGGGTACGAAAAACAATCGGGTTTGGCCCAATACAAATTTTTGAAAGTCTGATGGATTGGGTGTATGAGGGCGTACGGTGTTTATCATGGGACTTGGCCTGTGATCGTCTGATCAAGATCATGCAGATGGGATTGAAGGAATACTTTAATTACTGTGTATGCACATGTATTGGATCATAGTGGAATATTAACATGTTAATTTTTTATATTTTATACAAATCATTTACAGTAAGTTCATCTTCTCTCTTCCTCACTCGCATCAAACCCTTCGCTCTTTCATTAACCCTAACACCCAATCACAGCGGCGCTCCGCTCACTCCCTTTCTCTTTTACCACCTATCCAACCCCTCAAACCCAGTAATCAGAAATAATAGGAAAAAGACTAAAATTAATTCGTTTACCCTTTTTTTTTCGTGTTCTGAGTTTCAAGCTTCTTCTCTGATTTTTCGCTAATCTCTCTCTGTCTTGCTTGATTTGCAGGTCGCGGCGAAGATTAAAGATGGTGGTGTTGAAGGTGGTTCACGGCGGTGGTTAGCAAGGAAGACAACGACTAGGGTTCCAGATATTGGAACCCTGGTTGCTCCGTTGTAGGTATCGTTGTTGTTCGACCCCCGTCTCTGTATCTCTTCGTCCCTTCTCCTCCTTTTCCCCTTCATCTGTTCTTCTTATTTATAGGCTTTTAGTTCAATTCACGTTACAAATTGACATAGATTAGGGTTTGTAGAAAAATTAGGGATTTGAATTTGTGATGTAATTGATTTTGGATTCTGGTTTGTAAATGATTGTGAAATATATTTGATTTTGTCTTTACTGTAATATTGGATTTGGATCGTGATTGATATTGTTGCCAATTTTTTTTGCTGTAATAGAGATTGAGATTCGTATTATTTTAATTAAAGATTTGATTTATTTTTTATTTCTACAGTAACAATTTATGCACATATTTTGGCATGATTAGTACGGTAGCAGTTAGTGCAAACGTACTTGAATTTAGGGGATGATTGGAATAGTGCATGTTTCTCTGTTTTTTTGTTTGGCCAGCATTTGTTGTTTCCTTCTGGGCCTGCGTTCATTACCCATCCCACAATTGTCTCTCTTTTTTGTGTTATTGTAAACAGCACTACTGGGCCTTAACTTCCTAAAAAAATGATCCAGCAAACTATTTTTCTTTCAAAACAAAATCTTTAATAAATAAACAATATTTAATATAATATTTAATAATAAATAACATTACTATAAGATAGACCAGCTTAATGTCACGTTTTTTACCTTAAGCAATACATGTCCTTTATTTTATTAACTTAACATTTTCTCTCTCTTTTTTAATAACAATACCTTTAAAAAAACACAGTAATGACCGTCCGTTGGGCCAAAAACTCAGTGGGTCTATAATTTTTAATTACACCTCCTCTATTCTAAGACCGCAAACCCCCTTTTATCAACAAATAGCTTATAAAAAATAGTAACCCTAATATTTTTCTTTAAAATGAAACAGCAGATAACAAAAACGACAAATGGGCTGACTTTAATGGGTTTAGTTAATTTGATAAGCACACCCCTCTCTTTCTATTTGGATAACAAAAATAGAAATGAGCCAACTAAGTAAATTATCCCCACCCTTTTTACTAATAACAAAGTAACACCTAAATTTATTTAATAAATTCAATTATTATTTAATAGCAATTTTAATTTCAATAATAACAACTATTTAGTAGTTATTATTCTGAAATAACTTTACATTTTCGAATCGCATGGGTCATTGGCCAATATGCCACGCGAATGGGTTCACGGATACCCGAGTCTTTCTGATTAAGAAAGCCCCACTTTCCTGAATTTAAGGTACACCCCCTAGTC